GTATTTAATCATCTGCTTGCTTTTGTGGATTCTAAGCTGTACACACGACTAGCTTCCATGGATTTCTATCCGGAACTGTTTGCTATTCCATGGTTTCTTACCTGTTTTGCCCATGTTCTACCTATACATAAATTGTTTCATGTGTGGGACCAATTATTACAAAGAGACTCCTCGTTTCCATTGTTCATAGGTACGATACCCTAAATTTTTTCCTTCCAGAAGTGCTTTCTTCTTCTTATTTATTTTTTATATGTATTTTGTTATGTTATTTGTTGGCAGGGTTGGCTATCCTCCACCAACTTCGTCAAACCCTTATTGAAGCGTCTTTTAATGACGCAATTCTTCTCTTTTCTGATCTTCCAGGTGACCCACTTTCAAAACTTTTGTTTGTTGTAGCTATAAAGTTTACTTTTAGATCTTTCAATGGAAGTGGTGGTAGCGGACTCAGTTGCATATTATGACCGAGTTCCACCTAGTTGTGCGTTTCGATCACACGCGAGGCATACGAGTAAATCTTTCAAAGTTGCCTTTGTTGACCATAAGTTCACTAAAATTTTTCTGATACAGTTTTCCCAGTGTTCACTTATGATTCAGATTGTGAAGAAAAGCCACCCCGGGGACTTCCTTGCAGTTTACAGCACGTGTCTTATAAAGAACTGAAGAAATGGCACTGTCCTCGCATCTCTACAGAAGAATTCGCTTGGAGAGTTTCTGATCAGCTGATTGTTGCCATTGATATACGACCACAAATTGAGTCAGTTTTTTAACCGTCATCTGCGATGCTAAATTCTTGTCATTAAAGTTGCCTAGAGGTTCAAAACCTTCAAGCCTTTTTCCTTTTGATCAAACCTTGGGCAGTCCATTGCATTTGTTGGAAATTTTTGTCTAGTTTCGGAAGAGGTTGTGTTCTTCGCTCGATCAACTACCCTAATGTTAATGACCAATCCTTGCTGAACATCGCCGAGCCATTGAGAGTCGCTCAACGAAATCAACACCCAATTTGCATAGTTGGAGGAAAGGATGCTGAAGTAACTCGTAAGGTATGAATATAATCTCTCAAGAAATAAAGTGTTGAGTATCACTTTACCCTGAAGCGAAACTACCCTTTTTTCTTAGTTCTCAGGTGACCTGGTGGGTATGGGCATTGATGGTGTTTGTGTGCTGGACGGAGGTTTTGAGGCGATTCGTCATGATACTTCGCTTATTCATGTACCTCACTGAACATTGGTGCTCTATAGGAACGTGATGCCTTAAAACACATTCCCGTGCCTTATTATCTCTGTGTTCAAGTGATCCTCATATGTTTGTTGGATTTTGTGTCTAGTGAAGTTTTGACGCTGCATTTTTTGGAGATCTATTCGCAACAGTGTGTCCAATCAGAACTCGCACATGTTTCTGTCGCTCAACCTCGTTGCGAACGTTCCAGCAACTGATTTCCGCACACCGGA